GACCTGAGAGCGCAGGGTGTTCGGGTGATAAGGACGGGGTAGCTGAGCAGCGGTAGGTTATATGGTGGCGCTGGACCCGAACCCGAGAGTGCAGAAGGGTGTTCGGGTGGACAGGGACTAGTACAGGAAGCTAACCCAGTGCACTGAAAACAGCGTATAATAGCGCATGTTATCACTAGATTATAACGCGGTGCTCATTTCAGTTTTTGTGGAATATTTTCTAAACGAGCTCTGATATTTAGTTTTCGAAAGCACCATCGGATTTCCCGCGAAATTTCCGATCAAATGAGCCTACATGTGATAGGGTTCGGAGTTCAAATAATAATACGGAATTAGACGTGTTCTTAGAGAACCTTTGTACAGAACCCTATCACATGTAGGCTCGTTTGATCGGAAATTTTCCGGGAAATTCAATGGTGCTTTCAAAAATTAAATTTTAGCGCTCATTTAGAAAATATTCCACAAAAACTAAAATGTGCACCGCGTTATCATGTAGTGATAACATGCGTTATTACGCTGTTTTCAGTGTGTACGAATAACATCGCTTGCCGCTTGCCTGCATGTGAGTGAGAGTGAGTGCATGAATAGCGAATAAATGTGGCTACATTTACGCAGACTGCTGCTGCTGATGGTGGCCATTTTGTTCACCCCGAAGAGTGTGTGAATGGTGGTCATTTTGCTCACAATTCGCCCACTTGCAACGCGCAACGCTCAAAATTAAGTCCGTGCCAAAATGTCACAGGCAAAAGAGAGTTTGACAGTGGCATGCACAAAAGTGTACGACTAACAAATCACTCTTTTGAGTTGGACAAGAATTCACTTTTCATCTTCACGCACTCTTTGGAGTGTCACATGTTTGAACGCCATACACAATTCAATTTGTAAAGTACCTGCCTGCAGGTACCATCCTTTTTTATTAATTTTTCAAACCAGGTTCGAGAGCGTGTTCCTGAAATCTTGGCCCCCTTTTTGCTGGCGATGAGCGGACGGTGATGTCGGTGTGTCAGGGCCCCTGCCCTATAGCCCCCAGGGGGCGGCAGACCCCCGCAGGGCCGGCGCGGTGGGGCCGCATTGCGACAGCCAGACAGGCCCCAGATCAGACGCGGGAGCCTCTCTCTCTTTCCATCCAGGGCCGAAACCACGCGCTGCCCAAAACGTTTAATTACTCGTGGATCACTCCGCGGGGCCAAACGCCGCCGCCATAACCACGCAGCCGCACGCCGCCGCCTGGGCGGCCGGCCGTGATGCCATGGGCCACGCCCAGCCGACACTATCTAGGCCGAGCTCCCGGCCGGCTGACGCACGCCGAGCGTTTGGTGGCTGAGCGGCCTGAGCGGTCTGAGAGAGGCAGAGCGGACGGCTACAGGAGAACTGTGGTTTGTGGTACACGCTACATTTAAGTGAACCGTTCCTCACTGTTTACTGGATGCGTATTATCTTTACGGTGGCATATTGGAGATTATTTGTTCATATTTTCACATACATTTCAAAATTCGTTGGTAAATGCTTAGACGCGCATCAGCGCATGTATAGATAAAAATATAAAAATATATAACCAGGTCATAAAGAAATTTTTTTCTCAACAATTCAGTGTGTAACTGAGCGGACGCGATCCGTGGTCGGAGAGCAAAACGGTTGTGAGCGGACTTGTGGTGGGTATACGGTAGTGTGCAGCGTATCTACAGGCGCCTGCGGATAGGCAGTGCCGTAACACACGCGTGCTCTACAGACATGCCTACCAACAGGCGCCCGCGGATAGGCAGTGCCACAACACACGCCACTGGGTGCGTCAGATCGAAATTCATCCTTTTAAAGGTGATAACTAATATTCCTATGTTCGTTTTAGAATTTTCAAAGTAAGGTGAAGCATGAATCTTTGCTGGCTGCTCACCCAAAAATTCGTCTCTATGACGTCTGTATATGAACGGTTTCTGCGGAAGGTGCTAGACTAAAAGTAGCAAATTAGCGCTTCGATCCGCCAGTCAATGGCTTGATTGGCTCACTTGGGAATCTTAACGGATCTCTCCCAAGAATCTCGCCCCGAAGTTCACCCCGGCGAAAGAAGCACAGCGACAAAAGGGGTGACATGGTGACAAAGTGTGGGAGAGAGAGAGGGAGAGAATGAAAACAGCGTGACCCTGATGAAGCAGAACGATTGACCCTGTCTCACCCACCGTCGCAGAAGCACTTCTAAAAGAACGCACCCGCTCGCTCGCATTCAGCGGGCAGTGAATCCAGGGCAAAAAAGGGCTTTGCCTCAAAGACAAAGTGGAGGAGACTTGAAGTGTCCGAGAGAGAAAAATTGAGTGACCGCGTCGCGCCGCGTCGTCCCCTTTACCATGGAAAAGGGCGATGGCTTGGATGGGGTTGGGGTCCTCCGTGCCCTAACTCACTCTCTCGCACTTACTTAAACTATGCTGCTTCTGTCTCTCCCTTCTTTTGTGAGACGAGCTGAGGCGTTGCCCCAAAAGGACCCAAAGCGTTCGTCACTGTCTCCAAATAATTGTGCCTCCTCTCTCTTGATTACACTCGCGGGAGTTGACAACTTTCCCGGGGTTAGTGCAGAGGGAGGCAGGGAGGGGGCGGGGGGAGAGAGAGAGAGAGAGAGAGAGAGAGAGAGAGAGAGATGAGCGGAGCGGAGCGGAGAAGGGGATAGAATGACTTAACGCTGTGAGCGGTGAGAGCGACAGAGCGCGCGCACTAAAGTCTTAAGAGGGATAGTCCGGGCCTGTCACCTGCCACTTTACACACGGCCTCCTCGTCGACCGTCCGGAAGGTGCAACAGAGAGCGGGAGACGCGGAGGAGGGGGAAGATACGCCAACTTCATTGAGTAGGACACGGGGCGACGGAGAAAGCGAAAAAAATGTTAATCTAGCCAGGGAGTATATATAGATACCGCAGTTTGTTACGGGTCCAAGTCAAAATAAAGCAAAATCTTGGTACACCGTGAACGTGCGTACCGCCGCCTTCCTTGTATCTTGCATGTTATACATTTTTTCGTTAGTTTTTTTTTTTTTAAATTCATGATGGAGAAGTTTCTGCTTTTGCGCCCATATTAACGCTTTAATGAAATGCATTCTCCAAAGAAATGTTAGTTCTCGATACTCAAAAGAAGCTTTTATGAATCGACGAGAATCGAGGACACATATCTCCAGGCTAGGCGGCTCGCTTTGTCAGGCTCGCGCCTACAAGTCTCTGCTAATCATAAGCACATCACTCAAAATTCCACGTCGAGCAGGACGCAATAAATAACCCTTTACAAACTCTACATCACCTCGCTAGGATGCGCAGCCGTTTGATCTGGACGCCACGGCGGCTACACGGTCAGCTCACCTGCAAACATAAAAGAGACCCGAGAGATAAGAAATTAATGCCAAAAATAAATCTTTTCCGTCCACGCACTCCAACCTGACCACTTTGAATACAGACTGATCACCGCAGTACACGCGCGTGACCGCATACAAACACTTTAGAATGACATTGTATAAAAAAGTGAATAACAAAAAGAATAACTGAAATAAAATCGAGTTGGCCCTTAGCCAAACGGTAATTGTCCGAGTTTATCAATCAGGCCCATCCCAGCTGCACTCATATAAGCTGCGGGGTCCGTGTGAAAGAATGCATATAATAATAAAAATGAAAGACGGCAGCAGCTGCAGCAGCAGATTTCTAGGCTTCCTCAGATGGGTTGATGATGACGGCCCTCTTCAGGAGCCCTGCCGTCAAAAATAATCAACTCGTTTTGGCGTTAATGGTATGCATGGAACAGATTACGGACGATAAGGTGCCAGTCAGGCTCGATAGACAACTCTAGGACGACGCTCGGAGGTCGCGCCTAGAGCAGGACGGCAGATGAAGACGCCATATAGCAGCATTCTTGGGCTGTGAAAAAAACCGTTTAGTTCATCTATGTTTATCGACAATTAAATTTTGATAGCTCGCTTTGATAATAATCACAAAAACTGTAATACGCTCGGTGTCATTATAGACAGAAATGATAGAAAAACGTCAAAACGCATGTTTCAGTGGCTGTATGGGTATGTGTTTATGATTAGCGTAGATGGCTATACCCTTACACACAAAACTTTAGCTATGGGCATCTCTGTCATGAGCCTCAAATAAGAAACTACTACCAACGAACAAATATTACTACTGTACGCGTACGACGCCAAAACGACGTCGAATCGACATCGTCCTGATCAAGCACGATCTCGCGCACTCACTGGGGCGAGGCCAACCCGCCTGCTCCTTTCTGGAATGTGGTGTTGAGAGTGACGCCGCCGTCCCCTCGCCCCACCCCTAGAGCGTTTTGGACTGGTATATAACGTACTGTCAGCACTACGGGTACGTATACCCGGCTCTGCGCAATACGTTCGATACGGACCGGGAGGAGGGAGGGGAGTGGGGGAGGGGGCAAGGAGGAAAGGAATGAAGCAGGGGCAGATCGCAGATCGGTCAGATGGTGACGCAAGAGGCACACCGCCGCACCTGTACGCCTCCCCTCCCGCTCCGCGTGTCTGTGTGAGTGCGTCCCGGGTTCGCACAGTCTCAGCAGCCTGGGACGGTGTGCAGTACCGGGCACTGTTAGACCATAACAGGACGGATTCGGCACTCGACACACGCATTTTTAGGGGGCGGGGATTCCCAGCCACAAAATGGAAATCAATCGATGTCGAATCGAAAGTCGTTGCTGCTGGAAAACGTGGTTTTATCACTCAAATCGAGGTATCGAGGTCGAATCGACATCGGACGAAATTTACATTTCTGGCTGGGCTACTCAACTGTGAGCTATTTATTGCCTATCCCAGGAAACGCTTATAGTTGTTGTTGTTGTTGTTGTTGTTCTTCTTCTTCTTCTTCTTCTTCTTCTTCTTCTTCTTATTATTA